AGGAACCAGGTGCAAAACCCGTCTCACGTCCACCATACCGCCTTAGTCCGACCGAACTGACAGACATGAAGAAGCAGATAGAGTATCTACTGGACAGACAACTGATCCGCCCATCCACCTCTCCCTATGGTGCACCAGTTCTCTTCACTCCAAAGCCAGACCTAGACCAACTGCGTGGTGTGACGGTGTTTTCGAAGCTGGACATACGGTCGGGTTACTGGCAGATCAAGATGGCAGACAACTCGATCCACAAGACGGCGTTCTGTACCAGATACGGCTCCTACGAATACTCGGTGATGCCGTTCGGACTCTGCAACGCACCAGTGACGTTCCAGGCGGAGATGAACCACATCCTACGGCCCCTGCTGGACGAGTGCATAGTGGTGTACCTGAACGACTTTCTCATCTACTCCAAGAACATGAAGGAGCACGTGGAGCATCGGCGGAAAGTCTTCGAGATCCTGCGGGAGAACAAGTTCTACGTGAAGCTATCGAAATGCGACTTTGCATTGAGGAAGGTGCAGTTTCTCGGGCACATGGTGAGTGCCGAGGGCGTACGCGTGGACCCGCGGAAGATTGAAGCCGTCAAGAAGTGGAAAGTACCGGAGAACGTGAAGGAGTTGCAGCAGTTCCTAGGCTTTGCCAACTACTACAACAGGCTCGTGCCGCAGTACGCTAAGATAGCAGCGCCACTGACCAACCTACTGAAAAAGGATACGCCCGACAAATGGGATACTCCTCATCAGCAAGCCATGGAGCAGCTGCAGACAGCACTGACCACAGCGGCAGTACTCATCCTACCGGACCCAGACAAGGACTACGTGGTAGAAGCAGACGCTAATGACCAGGCAGTCGGAGGAGTACTAATGCAGGATCACGGACGCGGTTTGCAGCCCATCGCCTACCTCAGTAAAAAGCTACACGCAGTAGAACTAAACTACCCCATTCATGACAAGGAAGCCTTAGCGATAGTAATAGCCTTCAAGGCGTGGAGGTGTTACCTAGAGGGAGCCAAGACTACAGTCTACACGGATCACTGCAGTCTCAAATACCTGAAGTCGCAGCCGACGCTCTCACGACGACAAGTGCGGTGGGTAGACTTCTTGGAGACCCACTTCCATTACGGCATCGTCTAAAAACCCGGGCTACACAACTAGGCAGACGCGCTGAGCCACCCCGGACATGTAGCAGGCATCCAGCTCGATGGGATGAACCCTCTGCTCAAGGATCTATTCCAACATGGATACTCCGTGGACGCAGAGATCGCTACAGCAGAGAAACATAAGCTGTTACAGTGGGAGAAAGCCTTAGCTGTAAGGAAGAGTTCAGGAAAGATTTGGGTACCGAACTATGCCTCGCTACGGCAGATCCTACTGGAGGAGTTTCACGACGTACCATACGCGGGACATTTCGAGAGCAACAAGACGTTAGCAGGGATAGCGAAGTATTACTACTGGCCCAGGATGGCAGCAGACGTGCAGCAGTTCGTCACCTCATGCGACACGTGCCAGCGGATGAAGAGTAGCAAGCAGAAAAAAACAGGGTTATTTCAGCCTCTACCCGTACCGGAGCAGCCATGGCAAGTCGTTAGCCTCGACTTCATCACGGGACTACCTTCGACCTCACGAGGGCATGACGCTATACTCGTGGTGATCGACAAGTTCTCTAAAATGAGACACTTCATCCCGGCCAACGCCACAGCTACAGCTGAAGCAACTGCTCGCCTCTTCTTCGACCGCATCATCACCATCCACGGCATATCCGCTACACTCATCTTGGATCGAGACCCAAAGTTCACAAGTAAATTCTGGAGGGAACTCATGGGTTTGCTAGGGACAACGCTTGCAATGTCTTCAGCCTACCACCCCCAGACTGACGGACAGGCAGAGCGACTCAATCAGGTGGTTGAACAGCTACTACGCACAGCTTGCAAAGACGACATCGGCCACTGGGATTCACAGTTACCGACACTTGAGTTCGCTTACAACAACGCGTCACATGCGGCCACAGGGAACTCCTTTCTTCCTGTGTTACGGACGAGAACAACTTACACCACAGCAGCCAACCACACCGGCACACGTCCAAGCCGCACATGACTTTGTCACCACCATGCAGCAGCTATGGGAGAAGACTCAGCGACGCCTCACCACGATGCAGACCTCCCATAAGCAGTATGCCAATCGCCATCGACGTGATCACACCGTAGCAGTCGGTGATCAGGTGCTTCTCGACACGCGCAACTTGAACCTGTCTCACCTACCATCTAAGCTCCGGCCTCGCTTCTGTGGTCCTTTTCACGTTGAGGCACAGGTGACACCAGTAACATTCTGCTTGCGCTTACCTACTACGTGGAAGCTTCACAATGCTTTCCATGTTCAGCTGCTGAAGCCCTACAAGGAGCCCAACCAGCGGTTCACAGGACGTCAGCTACCGCCACCACCACCTGTTCTCATACAGGATGAACCAGCGTACAAGGTGGAACGATTGCTCGTGCACCGACGCAGACGCGGCAACACGCTCGAGTTCCTGATACGCTGGAAGAGATACGACCCGTCGGAGGACAGTTGGGTTGCAGAAGCTGATATGGGCAACGCACGCCGTGCTCTCAAAGACTACCTTGTCAAGCAGGGTGTTTCTCACGCCACCCAGCTTTGAGGGGGGGACGTGTGAGAGTACGACGGCTTATGCTGGCTTTGCTAGCTTGCTTGGACTTTATTATGCTATTACTAGCTTAGGTTTTATTTATCATGCATAGATATGCTTGATTTCCTAGGCTAGGTGCATTCCTATATGTTATTATGGTTATAGCACCGAACCAGGTTACGTGTACCGAACTCAAGCCTTTTCGGTTCCCACCGAATTGCTTTCTACCGAGTTCGGGAAGGTTCTGTTCGGGACGCTTCGCGACCCTTAGAACATTCGCGTAACACCTGGGTTACTTGCCTTGTGTCGAGCCTATATATAGCCTCGCCTTGTACCCAGGTGAATCATTCAATAGATTTCTCTTTCATGGACCAGATCCTCACAAACTGCAACCGATTCCGCCACCCGAACGAGCCTGACAGCAGGTGACTATGGACTTCGTCACGGGGTTACAAGCAAGCCCCGGTGGTAACGACGCGGTCATGGTCATCGTCGACAGACTGACGAAGATGGCTCATTTCGTTGCGTGCAAGAAATTGATATCGGCCGAAGAAACAGCTCGCCTATTCATCGCAGCCGCCGTTCGCCTTCACGGGATACCAACAGCTATCATTAGCGACAGAAACACGAAATTCACGAGTTAATTCTGAACGAATATTTGGGATCAGTTCGGGACCTGTCTACAGTTCAATTCGTCATACCACCCCGAGACCGACGGACAGACCGAAAGAACAAACCAGACAATGGAGCAGCTGATTCGTGCTACGTGTGACGACCCCGCAACCTGGGAGCTGCAGCTGCCGTTGATCGAATTTGCATACAACAAGGCTACGTCAGCAAGCACACAGCAGTCGCCGGTTTACCTGAACTATGGGCAAAATCATACAGTGCCTATGACACCGAGTCTGTACAACCCGACACCACGAGCACAGCAATTCGCCGAAATTCTGCAGGCTGCCCACACACACGCTGCAGAGGCAATAAAAAAGGCGAACCCCATCGCTAAAAGAAATGCCGATCGCCACCGCCGCCCCGTCACGTACCAGTCAGGAGATTACATTTTGATCGACACCCAAAATTTGCGTCTGCCACCCTACTACTGTGGCCCGGTTCAAATAAGCCACATGATCACGCCCGTCACCGCCCATCTCCTGTTACCGTCCGGCTGGTACATTAGCACGTCATTCCATGTCAGCCTGTTTCGCCCATACATCCCAACCACAAGCCAACTGCCACGGTACCGACCACTTTCGATGACGCATACTGCATCGGAGCCCATCGTCGACCCCATGAAAAAATATGAGCCATTGGATTCGCCACCCCCAGGGATCTTGGAGGATCAAATTCCTCGTCCGCTAGAAAGGCCGCACCCCGACTGAAGATAGTTGGGTGCCTCTGGGTAGCATTGAAAACCACCTTGTCCTCCAAGTGTACCTACGAAGCCGGGAATTCCGCGATGTACACGCTCTCGCTTAGCGGAGGGGCTTCTTGGGGAGGGGGGTTGTGTAAGGAAATTTTCAACCTTCCTTACTGCACACCTCAGCAATGAGTACAAGACCTACCGTTTCTTCGCCCGTTACTGCTAACGGTGTTCGCCACACTCGCGCGTCACTTTTGCCAAACCTCGCACTGCTGGACTCGGCCTAAGCTTCGGGACTAGCCCGAACCTCGCTGCCAGCATTGCACTAGTTAGCGCGCACTCATCTTGTTGCCGTCCATTGTTTTCGGTATAAATGTTCGCTCACACCTTAGCTCATATTTGTACTCGTTTGACCCACTAGTGCAATCTTCACCCCTCGCTCGATTGCACCCGTAAGGGCGCGTGTATTTTGGAGTATATTGTAGAATTTATGTTTGTTTTTTTCGACTTTATGCATTTTAACCTTGGTCGACTTGTAGTCGACTATCTAGATTTGTTTTTCATTTTTCTTGTTTTTTTCCCTTTCCCTTTTCACATCACGCCCATGGCACAACAAAGTTCGACTATCGAAGTTCGACTGTTTACAGTAAATACCGAGTCGTGCCCACCTTTCGTAGGTTACCCGACCTATGAAATATTATTCGTGACTGAATCCGGCTGCGGTAACCCAGTACGGTGTTGCTCGTAACTGTCGCAAAATTCGCAGCTGCTTAGTGCGTGAGTAGAAGAACACAAGTCGAATTCGAGTCGACCCCATTTCAGTGTCCTACTGTTTTTTTTTTCTAAATTTGAACATGAACACGCGAGCGTCGCAAACAGCCCTAAACGACATTCGCGAAACCGGTTACCAGCAAAAGGTCGACAATTTTTTCTAACTTCTACACCAAAAGTCACGCGCCCTAACATCTTGCCATCGCTTCAAGCAACGGCTCTTGTCATGCGGAGCCTGTCTCCATGCATGAGCCGCATGCGCCACCCCACCCACACCTCCGCCAGCGCCGCCGCAATACTGAAACTGGGCGCGTTCTTTCCGTCCGCCTTCCGCCTCCCACTGCTCTTTTCCCCCTTCCTTCTCATTCAACTCCCCCCCCCAAATTCACCCCCCTTCCCCTCCATACCCGCCTTTCTTCCTCCCCTTTCCCCTTCCCCCCCCTCCCCCCCCCCCCCCAACACCCTCCCCGCGATATTTCTCCCCCTGCTCTGGAAAGTCACGTGTCCCCTCGGGATTTGGTGGTGTGTGAAATTAGGTCTTGCGTTTATGCAGCTGCTGCCTTTCATATTGGCAAGCACTTTTGTGTTGCGTGTGTTACGGGCGCGTGCGAGGTGAAGTGCAGCTTCGAGCTTCACACCTACGTCTTTATTATAAGTAGGGGCCTCGTCGCGTTTTGGTCAGTTCCCGCTTTCTCCATCCCGCCGACCGCGTTGCGATCACACAGGCAGAATTGATCGAGTCCTACATTACCCGAATCATCACTGCGTCTCACAAGCGTGCATCTCACTTGCCCGTTCCTCACCTTAGTCGAGCACACGGATTTGATTCCTTCGCTTCTCGCTTCCATCTACTAATCCTCTTCGTTGTCACCGTCATCATGTACCGAAGCGCCACCTCGCTGCTGCCTAAGGCAGCGCAGGCACTCGCGCGCACGACCACCGCTTCCGCGCCGATCCGCCCCGCGCTCGCCGCATCCACCCCCATCTCCGCACACACCCCCACGCTCCCCATCCCCCTCCACACCGCCTTCCTCCTTCCTGCATCCGCCCGCGCGATCGCCACTTCCGCACCCACCTCCGCGTCCGCCTCCGCTTCCGCCTCCGCCTCCCCTTCCGGCGCCGCCGCGCCCGCGGCGGGCGGATCCGCGGTGGATTACGTGGTGGCGAAGGTGGACGATCTGATGAACTGGGCTCGCACGAGCTCCATGTGGCCCATGACGTTCGGCCTCGCGTGCTGCGCCGTCGAGATGATGCACGCCGGCGCCGCGCGCTACGACCTGGATCGCTTCGGGATCATCTTCCGGCCCAGCCCGCGCCAGTCGGATGTTATGATCGTCGCGGGGACGCTGACCAATAAGATGGCTCCGGCGCTCCGCAAGTAGGTTTATTTGTTCTCTTCTTCTTCTTCGTTTCTTGCTCTTGGTTTCACTCTCCGCCCTCCGCCCCTCGCGCTCCGCCCTCGCCCCCCCTCGCCTTCTGTTCACTGCGGTAATCTCCGTTTCCGCCGCGTCCCGTCACGGATCCGTCGCGAGTGCGTCGCGAGTGCGTCATGGGGATAAGCACGAGGGGCAGCACACGGTGATGCCGTGCTTGTCGCTCAACTCCTCCTCCGCGTGCCCGCGGTCAAAGAGAGCGGTGCGCAGGAGGGTGGTGGGAAGGAAGTGCTGGGGTGTGAGTGAATGAGTGAGTGAGGGTATGCTGGATTAGCTGCACGTGCGCGTCGATTAAGCCGCTGGGCGGTGATTAAGTTTAGTGAGGAGCCGTATACGGTTGAGGTCATCAGGGTAGTCTAATGAGGCGTGCTGCAAGAGGGGTGGGTTGGGAGGGCTGATTTCGCGGCAGCTGCGCTTTTTTACGCCCTCCTCCTTTCTCTCCATCCAGTTGTCCCCCACATCTTCCCAGCAGTCCTCGCCCATACGTCCACCCTACACCACCGTCTACCACCCCTGCCTGCGCCCCTCCCTTCTCATCAATCAACCCCTCCCATCTGCACCTTCAATTCCCCACCTCCCATCCCTCCTTTCCCCCTCCTCTCCCCGACCTCCCCCCCCCCCCCTGCCCCCTCCCCCAGGGTGTACGATCAGATGCCAGAGTCGCGGTGGGTGGTATTAACGGGCAGCTGTGCCAACGGCGGCGACTTTTGAATCCATGCAAACGTTCCCATCATCCCCCTCCCATCTCCCCCCCTCCTCCCCCCTTCTCCCAGGGTGTACGATCAGATGCCAGAGCCACGGTGGGTGGTGTCGATGGGCAGCTGTGCCAACGGCGGCGGGTACTACCACTACTCGTACTCCGTGGTGCGCGGCTGCGACCGCATCGTGCCTGTTGACATCTACGTGCCCGGCTGCCCGCCCACCGCAGAGGCGCTGCTGTACGGGCTGCTGCAGCTGCAGAAGAAGATCCACCGCCGCCGTGATGTTAGCCTCTGGTGGCGCAAGTAGAGAGGGATGTGGTGGTGGTGAGGGGTGAGGAGGAGTGTGGGGCGAGGGGCGAGGGAGACGGAGTGGGGTTTTTATGGAGAGGGGAGGGTGTTGGATGGGAATTTGGTGTGGTTGTGATGGATGGTTGATTCGATTGATTGTCACTGGAGAAACTTCTGGTGAACATACTGTACGTACGGTACTGGATGTTTTAGTTGGCAGTGGTAAATACTGGTAATTCTGGTTGTTTCCATCTATCCATGTCTGACTGTTCCTCCCATCTAACCACGTGAGTGTAATTAACTACGGTGAGCCAGTAATTGGACCTGCACTGAAGTGGGCACTGGGCAAGCTCTCTGATGCAAGTTTTCTCAAAATACATGTCGTGCTCCAGAACAAAACAAGCATACCTGATTCTTACAGATCAAAACAATTGTATGCTTGCATTGAGCCTGTCAGAGACCACCACACTACACACTACACATAGCAGAAGCTCCACTAGCAGACAAACTAAGCTCACCAACAGCAAGTGAACAAATGTACACGCACACACTAGCAGCACGCACCTTCGCACCAGCCCACGTGGTGCGAAGGAGAAGTGCAGCTGTGAAGTCTAATGACAAAGTTGAACCCTGTTTCATCAACCAGCGTTTCCCCAAACCATGATTGTCCAAGCCCTTGTTCCCAAAGCATGCTTCCTTCAACTATGCATCAACCGATACCGTAACAGATCACATGTCTCACACAGCCAGCCACCTGCACCCATTTCCCCCGCCTTCGTGCAGCAGCTGCTCTGCAAGCTTCATACTAGCAAGTAGGATAACAAATTGTGGCTGCTTCTCTTCTCCTGCCTCCTCACACCCCCTCGCACCCCTCGCAGCCCCTGGCACCGCCTTGCAGCCCCTGATTGCCTCACCGCTGCATGACCTGAGGAGGGGGCTCCTGCCCTCGCGCCCTGAAGATGCGCACATTCGATGCAAAGCCTGGTGGGGTGGCGCAAACAGCACACATGGGAGGCAGGGAGGGAGGGAGGGAGGGAGACAAGGGGGAAGAGGCGTGCGTGCAAGAGATTGTGATTTATGTGATGCCAACACGCCAAGATGCGCCCATTGAACGTACGGCTTGCCCTGGTGGCGCGGACGTCACAGTAACGGGCAGGGGAGGAGGGGGGAGAGGGGGAGGGGAGGGAGCGGGGGCAGTTGTGGGTGCGGGAAAGGGGTTGTATGGAGAAACAATTGATTTCAGCATTCCAGAAATGCGCACAGTGGACGTGAGGGCTGGGACGTGAGGACGTGGAGTAGGGCGTGTGAAAGGGGAGGGCGACGAAACGAGTGCACGGGCATTGGGTAGAAGGTTGCGAGGGGGACTGGTTGGGAACTGGCAGTGGAGTGGAGTGTGAGTGTGGAAGAGGCGTGGCGTAGAAGCGAGATGAAGAGAGGATGCACGGGGGGGAGATGGATGAGTGAGACAGGAGAGGCCACGTATGGGGAAGGGTGCCGCGGTGGTGTGCATTCAAAATGAGCAGCAGCAAACGAGAGTGAAGTGCCAGGATGGGAAAGAAATACATGGAGAACGCACAACCTTCCACTACCACCACGGCTGCACCATCACCCTCCCTCCACAGTCCTCCCTCAAACTCCCTCGCAGTCCCTCTCGCTCTCTCATCCACTCCCTCACCCCCGCGCCCCCCGCAAGCCCTCCTAGCAGCTCGTCCCCCCCTGCACCACCAGCCTCTCCCCCCTCCCTGGCCAGAGGAAGGTTGGAGTGCAGCGCACGCCGCGCGCACCTAGCTTGGGGTCCCAGCCGCGGTTCTTGAGCTCGCGGTTCTCCTGGCAGAGCGCGCACGGCAGGCAGCACAGGTGCGTGAGGCAGTCGCCGCAGGGAGACTCCGGCAGGTCGTACTTTTGCCGCAGCCGCGTGCGGTAGCCTGTGCATGACACGGACGCACGAGGGGGTGGGGTAGCGGATGAGGGGGAGTGGGGGAGAGGAGGAGATGGGGAAGGGGGGAGGGGGAGGCGTGGGAGAAGGGGAGACAGGGAAAGGGGGAGGGGGGAAGAGAGGGAAAAGGAGGGGGTTAAAAGGCAAGGAAGGAGGGGGGAGGAGGGGGAAGGGAGGACGAAAGTAAGAGGCAGTAAAGCAAGCAAGGCAAATCCATAAGGACAAACAGGGATAGAGACGAGGGGATAGGGGAGAGAAGTTGGGGGTAGGGAGGGGCGGGTGTGGGTGGCGGGGCATAATGAGAATGAAAAGACTACACAGTCTAGAAAGAATGAAAGCAACGAAGGATAGAGGGGGACGAAGGTAAGGAGGGCGGAGAACTCAGGGCAACGGCGACAGGGCAGGGGCCGGCCAGAAGCGATGCGCAACGGGGCGGAGGGCGCAGGGCGGAGGGGCGGGGGGTACCGCAGGAGTAGACGAAGGCACAGAGGCCGAGGGTGAGCGAGTCGACGAGGAAGAAGAGACAGCACGCCGTGGACGACTCTGCTCGCACCCACACACAGGTGACAGCACGATGATGGCAGGCACGAGGGCAGGGGGAAAAAAGGGGCGAGGAGGGGAATGGGGGGGTTAGCGCGGAGAGAAGTGGAGGAGAAGGGCGCGGGACAAAAGGGGGGCATGGGCGAGGCAAGGAGAGAGGGGGGGGAGGAATGGTAGTGATGTCAGGCGAACAGGTGGGCGAGTCGTGCATGAGGAGTGGCAGATAAGGAGAAGACGGGGGAAGCGGCACAGCAATACACGGGCCCAAAGATTTGAAACGAACAGTATGTTAACAGGGGACGACACTTGACGCCGTCAACATCAGTGAGTGAAACCGCGAAGGGGGAGTGGGAGCAGGAGGGCGAGAAGAGGGGCGCGCGAGACCAGTGAGAAAGGGCGAGCATGCTACGAGAACGCGAGCGCGAGCTGGCGCGGTAAGCAGCGGTCCGGCAGAGAGAAGAGAACTCACCGGTGAATCCGTCGGTGACGATGTTCACGTTCCTGCCGAGGATGACGCACGGGCAGAAATACGTGCAGCACGCTGTACGCACGCGACGAGGAGGGCAGCGGCAGGTGGGAGAGAACGAGCAGAGAGGTGAGCGCGCGAGAAGACGCGAGGGATGGGTTGAAGAGGAAGTGAGTATGCACGGGGCTATTATGAGGTAACGTTGGGTTTATTTTCGTCCTGTCCACTGGTTACCATGTTTTTGTTACAACGGCGCGATGCAGACGTGTGGATCCCGCGAATCTCCGATTCTCCAAGGCCAGTTACGAGCACGGGAAAAGCGGGACACCATATATTTGTAAGAAAACGAACAGCAGAGCACCGACGAGAGAGAAGCGGACGGAAGGAAACGAAACGAGTACACGCAGATTATACACGCCTCGGTAGCACTCGCCTTATAAGGCACGCGGCGCCATAAGACTTCAGACCAGAAGCGTTCGACTCTTATTCATCCTCGCGGCAGCGTGTCAAGAATCCGACGACTTGTGTTTTGAGTCATCCTCGCTCAGAACACGGACAACGCGACTCGTAACGCCCACTCACCACCAGGGATACTCAAGAGTCCCTCCTCAAAACCGACGGCACGCACTCACCGCCAGGGATGTCTTTTGAGGCGCTTCAAACGCTCGCTCACACACTGACCACTCACCGCCAGGGATGCCCTCGCAGCAGCAGCCGCGCAGGCCCGTCGACCACGAGCCGCGGCTCAAAACGCTCATTGCCAGGGGCGCCTCGAAACCGACGACACTCACTGAGTACTCACCACCAGGGATGTGTCAAGCGGCGCCTCGAACTCAAAACCCACGGCACGCACGCATCCACGCTCGCACGCTCGCACGCAATCGCTACTCACCGCCGGGGATGTCCTCGCAGCAGGCGCACTGGTGTACTTTGAGTCGACTAATAAACACTCACCGCAGCTCAAAACGATCACTCACTGCCAGGGATGTCCTCGCAGCAGCCGCAAAGCCCCGTCGTCCACGCGCCCGTCGCCACTCCCAAGGGCGTCGTCGGACCATACGCCATGCCGGGCTCTCGCTGTCGCTGTCGCAGTCGCTGTCGCAGTTGCTGTCGCAGTCGCAGTGCGCGCCGAACGACCGCGAGCTTATTGCCGCTTCACGAGGGATGAGGAACGAGATGCTGAGTTACGGGAGACGGAGACGAAACCACCGACACACGAGACGAGTCAGCGCAGGAAGACGGCTGTTGCAAGGCGCACGAACGGTGAATCTACGGTCACGCTGCGTTTCTCCTTCACAGGGATCCCCAAAGAAAAAATCGTCTACGAACAGACGGCAGTCTTAAACGCGGAGCGACGTGCGGAGAGCCGCTGTTTGGTCATCCAGTCAGCCGCCCGCGAGTACGCAAGGAGAACGGATTGTCGACTGCCGGCCGAGCACAAAGAGGACGGATTTTTTGGAAAAGCAGATCCGCTGCCTCACAGATGGACGCGCGGAGCACCACACACAGCGACAGCGAGCCACACCGCACCACACACCGCACACAACCCCACAGTTGATCTGGAATCTGTCACTTGTAAAAAAAAACGCTGCTGCGTAGGGTACGGCAGGAGTCACAGAAGACCGCGAATTTGAATGGTGGATTGCACTTGGAAAAAATCAAGTGGAACGCATGGAGGAGGGGGTAAGGGAGAAGCGGGCAGGAGGGTGCTGAATATGGCGGACGGCGAAGGATATTGATAATGCGGACGGTCAAGGCTATTGATAATGGCGGATGGCTGCTCGATTGATGAATGCGGTGTTAGGGCGTGTCCAGCGCGTACATTTACAGTTCATAAACCCATTCAGTTACCACATTTCCTATTGTAACACTGCATTTTACAAAAAGGTTGGACACGATCAGCTTCCGTTCACAAGACGGCACGCCCGCTGCGCGTACGACGAATCGTCTAACACACGTTACTGGAATCAGTGTGCGCGCGAACAAGGGTACAGCATTGCGTCCTGCCCGCTACAGTAATTTTCGTTCAAGCGTGGAATTTTCGCTTGTGCGTGAATTTCTGTGCGATGATAGACGAGGCAACCAGTTACCTCGTTTTCCACGAACTGTAGAAATTTGTGTGCAGAGGGTTGTGTCCGCGCGCTGGAAGGCCCAAGCCTTCGGACTCGACTCACCTTATATTCGTTTTTTGGTACAGTGAGATTTTTTGAGCCGGGAAACGTGTGAAGGTACTAATATTCCCAAAATGTACGCGCTGGACACGCCCTTAGTGCTCTGTGGACAACGTGACCATTGGATAGTGTGCAGGATGGTGGAATGGGATGAGAAGGGATTCCTATATAAAGAGTCAGATTGAGTGCGGTTGGATGTGTTCGGAAGGGAATTGATTGCATGACTCACGTGGAGTGTGGTGGGGTGGATCTCGAGGCGAAGCGTGGAGGGGAAGAGCATGGGGAATGGGTGAAGGTGAAGGGCACGGGAGTGTGGGAGGGAGGGGGCAAGTGATAGTATCGAGGTGGGCCTGAGGTGTGTCGAAAATCACGAGTTAAGCTGCGATTTCTTCAAGATTATACAGCGCCGTTTTGAGAGCAACGTCTAGAATGCACAATTCTCAATCCGGAAATCATATAGGTGATTATTACCGTGTCCCATCACATCCCATTCTCATCCCTCCTTAGGCTATTTGTAAGGAATTATTATTCCTGTCTGTAGACTGACCTTAGCAGGGATGTTCCAAGTATCACGTCAGTTGGGTTCGGCCTACAATTTCGCCCCGAACCACTCACGAGGCGCTACCGCGCCATTCGCCACCCTTTCTGTTAGAATAAGAAAGGATCTTGGACATGATAGGTCTGCTAGAGTAGGTAGCGGATGTCTTTTGTAGTGGGAACCTTGATAATAGTGAATAAAAAAGACAAGATTGATTAAAATGAAAACATTACACACAATATATCGATCATTTCTGAGTGATACATTCCCTTATTTTCTCCTGTTTTTCATTGCTGATGTGCTTGAGCAGCTCAACATCTTGAACAGGGCCTTCCAGCACAAAGAGGTGAGCTCACTATTAGAGTGTCCTGTCATTGATGTTTCCTGCTTGGTCAATCTGCTCATTCTGCAAAGTACTACTTATTCTGCTTGTTTCCAGCAAAATTCCCGTAAGCAGTAGCTAACTACCTTTTGTCTTCTTTCTGTCCAGCTTGACTATGCAAGCGTGCATGCGCAGATCAAGCGCACAACGTCCCACATCAAGAGCCGCTACGTCGATTGCGGCGACGACTTCGGTGGCGGCGTCAGCGAGCTGCTGTCCCCCTTCATCATGCGCCACGGCCCAGGAGGAAACAAGGAGGTTACTGTCGAGGGTGTTGACTCGGACGGCCGCCCTGCACGCTTCACCTTCAGGCTGCATGAGGACGAGCAGGAGGAGTTTGATGGGCCCGGGACCCACGATGGCTGCATTGAGGTCTGCAACGAGTTCGAAGAGGTGATCGTGCACCAACTGCTTCATCGGCTTGGCGATCTGGAGGGGATGTCTGGGGCAAAGCTATTCACCCCCGACGAGTACCCGCTGGATCGAGGAGAGAGGAACCGCAGGTGCATGGAGTGGCTGGAATCGCTTGTGACCCTATTCAAGGCCGACCTGACTGAGGAGATCCTGCCCGGTAAGCCCATGTTTGTATGGTATATCATGTTACTGTATTGCATGGCATTGCATATAATGTTGCGCTTCAATGTATCTTCACTAAGCTTTGTCTTTTGTTACTCTTCCTCCCTTGCCAGGAATCAACAAGCGTCGTGCGGAGAAGGAGCTGCGCATGTTCTCCTCGGTGCTTGCAGCATCCACCAAGAACGAGCGCAGCTTCCACGCGGGGCTCACTGCCATGCTCAAGACACCCGACTGGCGTGACAACTACCCCAACCTCGTGCTCTTGTGGGTGGCGGTTTCTATACTGCCGCTGAGCACCGTGGAGTGCGAGCGGGGGTTCTCCCGCCAGAACATCATCAAGTCGTGGCAGAGAGGCGCGCTGAAGGATGCACGCCTTGGAGATCTCATGTGCATGAGTCTCATGGATTACGAGCCCACGTGGGATGAGATTGTAACCATTTGGAGGAGCTACAAGAAGCGCAAGCCCCACAGCAATGCTCCTCTCCCGCCTGCAGGAAAGCAACAGAGCAAGAGGGGCAAGGAGGTTGATGAAGTGATGGAAGTGGTAGACCTAGACGATGAGAATGATGCACTAGACAGTGATGAGGATGATGGTTTTGATGAGTAGGATTAGGTAGGATGTTGGTAGACAAGGGCTATATAAGTAGGCTAGTTCTAACTGTGAAGCAGGAGCAAAGCAGTGTCAAACTATAATGCTGCTTATGTTGTGTAGGCTGTAGTGGGGTAGCCTACATGAGGTACAACTCAATTAGGGTTAGTACTTGGACTCAGTTTGATGTCAATGCAATCATTCCTGCTACTGGATTCTAACATGGTTTCAGAGCACTAGGTCCGTAGGACCGTTTTTTTTCGGGCCCACCTACCGTTGCGATTACCGCGCTACCCCACGTGTTGTCCTGTGCCTGCCTGCCTTGCCTTGTGACGTGCTGCGCTGCGCGCGCCGTCCTGCAGCCCTCGTGCTGCCTACTGCTGCCCTAGGCCAGAGCGCCGCCCCTGCAGGCCCGTAAGGCCCACGCGCCGCCCCTGCAGACACGTCAGGCCCGCGAGCCGCCCCTGCAGACGCACCAGGCCAGGTCACTGCCCCACGCGTCGCGCCCACAGCCCGCGCGTCGCGCTGCAGCCCCGCGCGTCGCGTCCGCTGCCCGCGCGTCTCGCTGCAGCCCCGCGCGTCGCGTTCGCTGCCCGCGCATCGCGCTGCAGCCCCGCGCGTCGCGTTCGCTGCCCGCGCGTCGCGCTGCAGCCCCGCGCGCTGCGGCTGCTGTCCTCGCGCAGCCCGCGGCGGCTTCGCGCGCCGCGTCCGCAGCTCGCGTAGCGCGCTGCAGCCCCGCGCGCCGCGGCTGCCCCTGGACGCCGCCGTCGCTCCTGCAGCAGCTGCCGCGGAGCGCCCTGCCGCAGTCGCGGCCCCGCCCTGCAGCAGCTGCCGCGGAGCCTTCTGCCGTGGTCGCGGCCCCGCCCTGCAGCAGCTGCCGCGGAGCCTCCTGCCGCCGTCGCGGCCCTGCCCTGCAGCAGCTGCCGCGGAGGCTTCTGCCGCCGTCACGTCCTCGCCCTGCAGCAGCTGTCGCGGACCTGCCCTACCTGCGACGCGGTCCTGCTCTGCCGCAGCTGTCGCGGCCCCGCCGTCGCCGCCGTCGTGCGCCTGCCCTTCTCGCCACTGGTGAGCACCTACCTGCCTGCCTGCCACGCCTGCCTGCCTGCCTGCCTGCCGCGCCTGCCCTGCCCGCGCTACTACTACTGCTAGGCTACTGCTGCTGCTGCTGCTGCTGCTACTAGTGCTACTACTGCTACTGGCGGTGGCCAGATGCAGCTCCAGCGACGTCCGCGAGAGTCTCTCACGCCTCAGCAGCTTCGTGAGTGGTACGCTAGTTGGGGTTGTGGTGGTAGCCGTCGTGGCTGTCGCCCTGGAGCTGGTCGGTCGGGAGCGTCTGGCGGTGGCCAGCTGCAGCTGCAGCGGCGTCCGCGCGAGACACTTACGTCCCGGCAGCTTCACGAGTGGTACGCTCAGAGTCGAGGGTCTCGGAGTACCGTTCGCTGCCCGTACGTCCTTCGCACAGGTGATCGGGCTGGTCAGGCTTGCGGGACACTTGGTCACAC